TGAGGAATTGATGAGAGGTGCTCGCTCTCTGACTCCCGTGACGCGACTCGATGGCGGTGGAAAGCAGAGAGAGAAGAGAAGAGAGAGAGAGAGAAGAGATGGAGCGCGGCAGTGGGCTCGGCTCGTCCTTGCCTTGGCGGGACACGAGCGGCGAGCTCAGGAGGCCCATGTGCTGGTGCTACGGACAACGTGTGCGCGCGTCCGACCGGCGTGGCCCATGCGCCGCAGTGCCATAAATGGCATGGCATCGGCGGCTCGCCCACGTGCGCGTGGCAGAGGCGACACGCATAGGGGCGGCAACAGCGCAGAGGTGCAGCGGACAGGCGCGGACGTGACGATGATGCGATGACAGTGGTAGTGGCTACGTCGCGACACGAGGAGTATCGACAGTGTGGATGTGACGACGGCCAGCAGCGGCATCATCTGGCACCAAGATGGCAGCATGAGGAGCGTAGTAGTAGGGCGCAGGGCTAGCGGCTCGCTGCGGTCGACCTCGGCCAAGCCCAGTGGCTCGACCGGCCAAGCGTGGCTGGCACGGTTGACCGCGCAGGATGCGGCCATGTGCGCATCGTGAGAAGGTCGTGCCGGCACCAACCAACCCAAGACAGTGAAACACATGAGTTTTAAAGCGTTCAACATGACCAAACGGTTGCTTTAGGACCTAAACCATCTTCACCATGCTCAAGATGGCACATGAGACTACCAAATTGAGCTATAATAGTACACCACACCTTAACCCAATCTCTCACAACAAATTGCTAAACATAGCAGTGTCTAACTGTTGGCAGACTTGAAAATTTCTAAGTTTTTGAGTTGAATTTGATTTTCATTTGCGATTTCTAAGCTAGTGGAAATATTAGCTAGTAATATCATTTTTTGACTGTAAGTATTTTACTATCATCTACAAAGTTTGTACTTCCAACTTATTAAGGTGCCACATATATGTTCTATAGCATTTTTGCTTAATAAAATTGGTTTTAAACCCTAAGTGATATAACATGACTATCGAATCAACTTTCATTTCACATTTTAGTTGATCGTTTCGAGTTACAGAAATTGATCTACACACTTTATCACATACATTAACACATAAACATGATGCTCATGACATGTTTTAGTAAATGATTTACGGTGTAACACCGAGGGTGTTACAGCTCGCGAGCCCCCAGGGATGACTTCTTCGTGTCTGAGCTCGCTATAGTTTCTGGTCGAGAGGGCTCGTGCGTTCTAGTGCTTGAGCCCTCATGGCGTGACGACGTCACGGTTGTCGTGTCTCCGCTTTCTAGGTGCGGTTGCTACTCTTGACAAAGAGTTGGCGCGACCTATCGCTGCGGATGTAGGCTCTAAGGGTGACACGGTTTGGTCCGCTCAGCGCGGCACATGGCGTACTCAGGGAGCCCGCCCCCTCGGATGCACGTGCCTCCAAGTGAAAGCTAACAGTTCGCTAAGCTGTGATGGATGGTTTGTTCTCCATGAAGGACTAGGCCCTGGTTCTAGGTTTGGCCTTGCGAGGCATGGCGCCGGATAGCCACCTAATCACCAATGATGATGACGCGTGGCGGCGGGTGATTTCATCGCTCATGTATGCCCTGACACGCTGAGTTCCACTGGTGGCGAAGACGCCACTTGGGGCGTGGCTCTCCTCCGGACCTAGGCTTCCCACATGGTTGGCCTGGGAAGGGTAGAAGCTAGTGATGGGCGTTGATCCATTGGTGTGGATGATCTTGTGGTCCCCCAAAAGGATGTCGCCGGTTGGTGCCATTCCCTGGGTGAGTTCACCATGAGCTGTGGGCCTCTGGCTCCCTAGGTGGAAGACTTGGCCATGGCGGTTGCAGAGAGAGGGTACTGGCCCCCTATATAGGTGAAATCTAGGATGTTGTCACTGAGGGCAGTTCCAAGAGTGTGTCTTCCATAGATCGTGGGGTCCAAATCTCGGAGCGGAGGTCTGGGACACGGCTGAAGGCGGACACGGGTCCTGGCCCTCCGACGCCGGTGAACTCATAGTTTTTGTGGTGGATGTGGCCGCCGTGGGCCATTCCACGAGCGTGTCCATCATTGGTGTGAGGAGCCATCGCTTCCTTCTCAACAAATGAGAGGGCGTGACTGTCCCCTACCTAGCGCGCCAATTGTTGGTGTTTTGTAAACCAGACTAGTAAATTTATACGATTGTCGTGCTGTTCTAGGAAGACGATGGTAGCATCCAAAAGACAAGATGATTTATACTGGTTCATGCTAGAGCCCTACTGCCAGTCTCAGAGATGATTGAATGTGTGTTCCTCTCTTGAATACTCTAAAGTTCTTATAATGGGGGTGCAAGAATGGTGGAAGAGGTAGGAGAGCTAGAGCTAGAAGATGAACTGCTTGAAGGGAAGCTTCAGGAGTCCGGAGATGTGAAGAATGAGAGAATATCCCAATGGTGGGAAGGATAACTGGCTGCCCTTATATAGAGTTCGAGGCCAGGGAATGTACAAAGAACAAGGTTCTCCCGATCAAGGGGTCATGAGCCTAAGGGAGGAGCCTAGCTAACTTGGCTTGTAAGCTACACCATCTTGTGGTGCATGTTGGGGCGTGGTTGTCATCATGGTCCTATGTCCCACATCGTGGTAACGTGTGGTGTGGTGCTACTGTGCAGGCCGTGGCGGCACTATAGGCACGGTGGTGGTTCACCAGCCGTCCTTCATGACATGTGGCCTTCATCATCATCTCCGGATTTCCTAGGGGCATCATCGTACAGGAGTTGGTGACCGCCCCTAGGTCATCGATCGCTCTGGTTATCTTGAGGAGCAGGTGGCCACGGTCCCGAGCTCCGGGGTCATGGCTCTCACCGGTCTAGATGGCCTCCAAGTCAAGGCCTCCATTGTGGATCCCATCCCGTAGTGGGTAGAATCATACATGCGTCTTGTTGGGCCGTATCTGGACGGTGGGCACCGTAATGGCCATCACCGTTGGGCGTAGGGATGGCGTCTGACCGGACCGAGGTGTCCGCTGTCTCCTCGGTCCTTACGGGGTCAGTGCGGCGTGTCTGTTCTTGTCAGAGTAGGCACGGTTGGCTAGGCTCGACCCCTCCCCGTTCCTCCCAGGGGTCATGACGGTGGAGAGGTCGTGTGTCTCTTGTGCATCGTGCGGCTAAGGCAGAAGGAGGGGTCGTGGCTGACCCTGGTCTTGGCGTCAATTCTATTTCACTTGGCTCAGCTGGGCCTCGATCGTTTGGGGCTTTGCTAGCTGATGTATTGTGGGCCGCTCGGCCTATCAACTAATCGATGTCTTGAGACACCTCCGGGGTTATAACCGCGACACTACGATATTTTCAATAAAGGTTGTGTATATTTTATATTCCACTTTAGGCTATATTTTTAATGAAGCTCTAAAAGTTTGAGTTGTTATTGGTAACTATATGTTTTGAGAAATTAGGTATGTTACAAGACTTGCCAAACCATTCATATTGCATCCCACTTGAACCTCTTCTCAATAGGTAAAATCAGGCAACCATTTCACACCTTGATCTTTCTGCGACATCCATTTAAAACCCCTTAAACTAGTTTCTACTCCCTCTGTCCCAGAAAGGTGGACGTCCGAGCTTCTCAACAGGTACATCGGTGATTGCGTGAATGTGGACAGAGGGAGGTCTAGATACATGGCACACGGTGTGTGAACGGAGACATTCAAATGCTACTCCCCAACGTCATTTCATTGCGGGACAGAGGGAGTACTAATGTTTCTGCTTGTATGTGCTAGGGCTATCTTGGCCATATTGTGCTCCTACTATGGGTTGTGGGATCACGAGTAACATGGCAAAGATAAGGCAAGACTACAATAAAGAAGATTAAAGATGAGACACATCCATTTGGTCAGTAGAGGTGGTTTGAAATGTAACAATTTCATCTATGCATGAAATGGTACTATGAAGGCACCTTGGTCTATTCTTATTTCAGTCATATTTTATGTAATCCCATTGATCTACAAAACAATAAGGCATTCTTGAGTTATATTTGCATATACATCCATTTGCGGCCTTAAAATTTTGAGATATTTTACTTGTGTCTGCTAGAGATATGTGGTTTTGGCTACATCCCACTCCTGCCACAAGTTAGAGGGCTACGAAGAATGCTACAGAAAAGATAGGACACGCCATATCTGTTACATACTAGAGGGTTATGAAACTAGAAGAAAGACGACAAAAGATAATTGCGACGATTTCAACCGCTAGAGTACTGATAGAACATCAGACAAAAGTAAGATATGGTTTGATCACTAGAAGCATTTCGCCTTTGACTACTAGAGATGTTGGGACTATCGTGAGGACAACAAAATATAAGACGTATCGATTCCGACCGCTGTAGGTTTACGCGACTACCAGAAAAACGACAAAAGATAAGATATCGTTCGGTGACTAGAGACATTATGAAATTGCTAAATTCTCGGTTCCGACCGCTGTAGATTTACATGACTACCAGAAAAACGACAAAAGATAAGATATATTGTTCGGTGACTAGAGACGTTATGAAATTGCTAAATTTCATATTTATATGGAGAAAACAAGCAAGGACAATACAAACGACCGAAACATTCTCACGCATGCACACCTTACCTCTATTGTGTATGGTCATATTCTGCCGGTCACAGCACTATTGGCACCCATTGGACAGTAGTTTATCACTCGCAAGGGTTGCATCGGCAGCACTACCTTGAGTGCGTCTGTATTGGGTCTGAAAAAAAAAAACTACCAAAATATTCTTAGCCAAGGCGGGCTGTCGCAAGCCAAGTACAACCCAACAACCTTGCGTCATCAGCAAACAAAAACCCGAAAGCAACGGCAACGTTGTGGGCTTTGGCGGTTCGGCTGCTGTAGGTGGGGGCCAGCCTGGTGTTGGGCTGCTATGGTTCTAACCACGTCAGCGTTCACGTTTCCCTCACTTGGCCAGTTCACTGGCCGCCGCGCGCCGCCTATATCATGCCATGCGGCCCCGTTCCCGTAGCCCTCTGAGCACTAGCGGAGGGAGATGGTGGGCGCCGAGGGCAGCGAGGCCGACGATTCCGGCGGCCGCGAGCCGGTGTCCGCCGCGTCCAGGCTCACCGACGACCTCGTCCTCCAGATCCTGTCGCGGCTGCCCGCCAGGTCGCTCCACCGCTTCAGGTGCGTCTCCCGCCACTGGCGCGACCTCATCTGCGACCCCGAGCACCGCGCGAGGATGACGCAGACCCTGGCCGGCTTCATGTACATCGGCTGGAGCCGCTACGACGACAACAACGGCAGGTCTCTCCGCTTCACCAGCGCGCGCGCGACCCCGGGCGGAGGCATCGGCGGCGAGGCGGCAGCGTCGCCGCCACTGATCGACCCGTTAGCCCTCTCGTTGCCTCCCGGGTTCCACCAGCGCCTGTTCCGCATCCAATGCTGCAACGGCCTCCTCCTCCTGTGCGCCTGGGCTCTGTCGTCGCGTGGCGCGTTCAAGTTCAACTACACCGTGTGCAACCCCGCCACAGACGAGTGGACCACCGTGCCGGACTCCCCGGTCTCGGACACGGCGGCGGCGGGGTGCACGACCGCGCGCCTCGCGTTCGACCCTTCGTCCCCGAGCTCCTCCGCCTACCGCATCTTCCAGTTCCAGAACGACGGGCCGCGGACGAGGGTGTCCCCCAAGGTGTGGATCTACTCGTCGGAGACGGGGGTCTGGACATGCAGGGAGTGCGGGTGGGCGGACGGCGCCGGGGTCGTCCTGCGCGACGAGACCAGCGGCGTCTTCTTCAGAGCTAAGCTGCACCTGTGCCCCAGCGAGCCGGTGATCGTGTCGGTGGACCGTGACGGCGAGAAGTGGTGGACCACCCCGAAGCCGGCGGACCCAGGCGACGACGGCTTCCTCGGCGCGCCGCCCGGGTTCATCGGCGTGTCCCAGGGGCGCCTCCTGTTCCTCAACACCCCGGAGTATAACCACACGAAGATGCGCGTCTGGGTGCGTGGCAGTGGCCTGTGGGTCCCCAAGCGCAGCATCGACCTCGAGAAGGTGATTGGAGGCTGGGACTACCGGTTCGGGCTCAAGTGCAGCGTCGTTGGGATCCATCCCGACCGCAGCATGGTCTACTTCCTCGAGGGGAAGGATAACAGGCTGGTGTCGTACGCCATGGATGACGGCGACGGCGAGACCATCTGCGAGCTTGGGTACAAAAATTGTTATTTGCCGTTCCTGCCGTATGTCCCCGTGTTCGCACGGTCGCTCACAGGCCGGGCGGCCGCGTGAGAGCTGAGAGTTTTACTTGCACTTTTCTTTCTTGCTTGCATTGGTTGTCTTGTCGCGCACGGGCTCCATGTCTGCCGTGCGCGCGCGTTCTGAGGGCAGAGGCGTGCTAAGTTCACGTCGTGTCGGCGTCGTGTCATGTGCTCCTTCGTTCACCGCGCGTACGTCCTGGATCAAGGTGAGCATGGGATGGCATGCTTCGTTTCCGGATCGTGGCGTGAAGGTCTACAAATCAAGGAGTGAAAACCACCCGAAAAGCTGCAGACTTTGTGCAGCACAAATTCGTCTTGCATGTTTTCGTTCCTCTGGGCTCGGGCCGTTGGGCGCGCATATGTGAGCGTGTCCTCCTCATGTTCCTGTGAGTTGCAGGCCGTGTTCCCGCCGAAAATTCGCATCAGAGCGGGAGCCGTCCGTCTAGAACTCCAGAATCCATCCAGGCTTAGCCATGTCTTGGTCACTGGCTCTAGCGGGCACTCAAAGAGTTCCCCGCGGCGACGCACAACGTACTCCAGCTCCCGCCGTCCTGTCCTCCCAGAACCGTGACAGCGGTGGCCGCGCGGGGTCCAAGACTCCAAGTGCAATGCAACGCGTGGTCAAGGACCTAGGTTCTGACCGCGCACGCGCAGCATCAGGTAATGCTACTCTCCCCGGATCCGTAGGAAGCCGATGATGGAGGGCACGGGCACGATCCGACCGCTCGAAGCCGAGGACAGCGACCAAGAGCCCGAGACCTGAATACCTGACGCGCGAGCAACTGCGCCAAGTTGGGCCACTGGGCAAGGGATTGTCACAAACCGAAGTGGCCCAATGAGGCCCACATAACCCAAGCTGAAGAGTATGAGCCCACGTTCCTGCTGATGCCGAGAGTGTGCCGATTGTCTACTGACAATGCTGTTCCCGCCCTGTCGCCGTCGGATCTTGGTCGATCCGGTATGGTGTTCATGTCTGTTGCAATAATGTTATGGCCTTCTAGCAACTTGTCGTTTATTTCAGGTTCGGTAATGCTCAGGGATGGGCGCAACGTCTCCCACATCTCTCTCAAAAATATCTATCCACTTTATCGGCCATCGCACGCTTCACGGCGCCGTGCGGCCGTCCATCCGCTCCACTCCGCATTTACCGCCACAGCCATCTCCCCGCACGCGCCCCCACCTGTATTGTTCGCTTCTCGCTCCTGCCCGTCGCACGCGTCCACCCGCGCTCTCGCTCCTTGCTCCCGCGGTCCTACTCGATGCGACGCTCGCTCCCGCGCCGCCCGCCTCTGCTGGTGCTCGTGGTGCTGTCACGCGCCTCAGGTCAGTCCCCGGCCGAGCCAAGGGCACCCATGAGCGCGGCCCGTGTCGGTGGTGCTCTCCCCCCCAAGGCCAGAATCAACCGGCCCTAACCTCTCCTCCCATATGTTGCAAATATACGTTTCAAGTATTTGAGATGTTTCAGAGGTATGTTGCAGGTGTTTCGTATAGATGTTGCAAAAGTAGATTGGGATGTTGCATATGTTGCAAGTGTTTCAGAGGCATGTTGCGAGTGTTTTAGAGGCATGTTGCAAGCGTTTGTTCAAAATATTTCATATGTTTCAGACTTATGTTGCAAGTGTTTTTTATCTGAATGTTGCACATGTTTCACACCTATGTTGCAACATATGAAACATTTTGAACAAACGCAGTGATCTCCATGCCCCCCTTTATAAAACGAACCGCCAGCCACATACATCGATCCCACCCACCCACGAACTCTCACAGTCTCATTTCTCACGTTTCACTCTCACTTCTCAAGAAATCCGCTCTCTCTACGTGATTTGGCCATGGCTCCTGCATTTTTTCAATGGTATTGATATGTTGTCTTCTCCAATATTATATCTATATTCATTTGATCTATATTTATATTCATGTTTCTTTGCATTCTACATTTATATATATTCTTATTCCTTGCATTCGATATATATTTAATTATGTTGCCACATTTTACTTGGAAGAATTTTTTGTGCACATATTTTATGTTTATATTTTTTTGGCATTTTATCGATCAAGTGGTATGAACAACGGACCTCCCCCACCACAAGAACCAGGTTTCCACCCCGCGATGAGCCATTCGCTCCAAATGTGGCCACTCCACGGTTCCCTGTTCTAGCTATTGTATGAAATATTTTCCAACATCTTTTATTTTTTTATGCTAACAAATAAGTGTAATTAGTTTAATATCATTGTTGCATACATATATGTCGCAGACTATATCCCCAATAGATTGGCTGCGAACAGCACTTAGCTGGTTCTTTATCTCGGACATCGTCGAAAACACGGCATCTAATGCAAGTGGTCGGCTATGGACGTGTGAACTCAGTTTTTTCATCCCTTTGAGGGGTGTAAATCATCGGAACCATATCCATGAGACAGGAAGACAGAGCCCGGACGTGGTAAGTGCCCAATTCAGTGTTGTGCGCATCTGTTTAGAGGCACTTCGATGTGTTTGCTATGATGTGCCTGATTTCTTGCACTTCAAGGCACTTGCTTTGAATGCTGGTGATATCCCCGTCCCGCAAGCAAGCGAATGGTTTGCGAGCTACAACCGTGCGGATGTGGTAAAATGGTCACTTATACCTGAGTCGTGGTTATTTGTTGTTTATTATTGTAATAACATTCTCTATTTTGTGGTTATTTTCTTTTTCACACCTATGTTGCAAGAGTATGTTCGAAATGTTGCAGTTGTTTTAGTCATATGTTGGAATAAGTGTTTTCATGTTGCAAATTATATGTGTTTTATCTGAATGTTGCATATGTTTTACACACATGTTGCAATCGTATGTTTCAAATGTTTCATTTGCTTCATTCATATGTTGCATCCAAGTGTTTCATATTTTAGAGATACAGTCCTGGGGGCACGTCCTGGCGCCGGGGGATGGGGCATGGCGAGCCATGGGTAGGCGTGTCGGGGCGCATAACGCACCTAGGATCCTACGTGACGGGGCGTGCTCGTCCTTGTGCCGACTCTCGAGTCCCGCCTGCCCAGATGAAAGCTCTAGTTTGGTTTTGGTGAATTGATGAAACCCTAAGTGCTAACCTAGTTTATCAAGTTATCATGAGATAGGTAGCACACTCCAAGTGGTGAAGCAAATGAAGATCATAGCATGATAAAGATGATGGCATGGTGATGATCAAATGCTTCGACTTGGAAAAGAAGAAAGAGAAAAACAAAAAGCTCAAGGTAAAGGTATAATTTGTAAGAGTTATTTTGTTTTGGTGATCAAGACACTTAGAGAGTGTGATCACATTTAGGATTGATAGCCGTACTATTAAGAGGGGTGAAACTCGTATCGGAATGCGGTTATCAAAATGCCACTAGATGCTCTAACTCATTGTATATGCATTTAGGATCTAGTGGATTGCTAACACCCTTGAAAATATTTGTGAAAATATGCTAACACATGTGCACAAGGTGATACACTTGGTGGTTGGCATATTTGATCAAGGGTGGTGAAGTTTGGGTGCAAGGGTAAGAAAGTCCACCGGCGGAGTGTTCGCTGTAGTACTTGGACAGTCAACGGTGCCACCAACACGCCTAGACGAAAAAGACAGAGGTCATCGGAAGTGACCGGACGCCATCTCGGTTGGATCGGCGCGTCCGGTCGATGGATGGCAGAGGGCGTGCGTTCGGTCTCATGACCAGATGGTCGCCAATGACCGACACTGGCGTGGTGCGTTGTAAGGTCGAGATGGCCGACTAGAGGGGGGGTGAATAGTCTTCTAAAATTAATTAATCACGCCTTGCTAACCGATATAAATGCGAATTAAAACAATCGGTCTAGCCAAGACTACACCTCTCTATATATGTTCACTAGCACCTTGCAAAGATACTAATAAAGCTACTAAGGTGCCGGGCTAGCTAGAGCTCTCCTAAACAATTCTAGGAGCAATGTCACACAAACCTATGCCACTAGTACTTTAAGTAACAAGGGAGCTCCTACACATGCTAGTAAGCAAAAGCACAAAGCTAACTAAGCTCACTTAGCAATGCTCAATAACAAGGCAACCAACGCCTAATTAGAGAGCGCAAATACTTAGCTACACAAACTAAGCAATGTGACTAACAAGGTTACTAAAACCAAATTAGCCACGCAAGGGAGCTACTTCTATGCTACACAAGCAAGAAGGTAATTAGCTAGCTACACAAGCTATCTAATTACAAGAGCAACTACACAAGCTTAAGATATATATATAAGTAATTGCAAGCTTGTGTAATGGGGATGCAAACAAACGGGAAGAACAAGGTTGACACGATGATTTTTTTCTCCGAGAGGTTCACGTGTTTGCTAACACGCTAGTCCCCGTTGTGTCGACCGCTCACTTGGTGGTTCGGGCGGCTAATTAGCATCACCCGCTAAGCCCGCACGTCGGGCGCCGCAAGAACCTACCCCTTGAGTGAGGGTAGCTCAATGACATGCTTTACTAAAGTTGCTCTTCATGACTCCATGGGCAAGCACAAGTACCCCTCACAAGCACTTCTCCGAGCGCCGCACAAGCTTCTTGCGGGCTTCGACGGAGACCACCACTGGCCGCCTAGGAGGTGGCAACCTCCAAGTAACAAGCACCACCGGCTTGCAACACGACCACCTAGTGCCACTCGATGCAACCTCACGATGCAATCGCACTAGAATCGCTCACTCACACAATCGAATGATCACTATCAAGTATATGTGTGATGGAGGGCTCCCAAGCACTCACAAGCATGGACACTAAGTCCCTTGAGGTGCTCAAGACCAGCCATGGCCGAGGGCCACTTCTATTTATAGCCCCAAGGGCTAAACTAGCTGTTACCCCTTCATCGGGCAATGGTCGGGCCGACCGGACGCGCTCGGTCGTGTTGACCGGACGCGCTGACCTCGGCCCGGTCGGCCGCCGAGACGACCACGTGTCTCGATTCCAACGGTCCACTTGACTTGACCGGACGCGGCGGTTTCAATCGACCGGACATCGAACCCCAGCGTCCGGTCGTTTCAAGAAGGTATTGACGACCTCGACCGGACGCGTCGGTCGGTCATTTTGATCGGACGCAGACGGCGTCCGGTCACCCTCCAGCTTCTGCGTCATCGTCAGACGTCGTCACCGACCGGACGCAGCCTCGCCAGCGTCCGGTGCAGATTTCAGATCCAGATGTCCGGTCGGTTGACCGACGCCAAAGATCTTCGCGACTAACTCGCTTTCACTTCTAACTTCATCACCCTTGCTCCAATGTGCTAACCACAAGAACTTGCATCCGGCGCAATAGAAAATAGGCATTCTATTTTCCCGAAAGCGCAATAGACAGGGACCCAAACCCATCTCACCCCTGCAAACACCACCTCCTTTGTAAATGTGCCAACACCACCAAGTGTACACCACCATGTGTATGTGTGTTAGCATTTTCACAATCATTCCCCAAAGGATGTTAGCCACTCAACTTGCCACGCCACTCGATCCTAGCGACAATGCAAAGTTAGATCACTCGAGTGACACTAGATGACCGATATGCAAACAAGTTTGCCCCTCTTGATAGTACGGCCATCTATCCTAAACCCGGTCATAAACTTCTCTACGCACCTATGCCCGGTGAAATAAAATGCCCTAGGTTATACCTTTGCCTTGCGCATTCCATTCCATCTCCTTCAATGTCGATGCAACACATGCACCAACACGATCAACAATGATATGATCCACTTCATATCATCACATGATCATATTGGTTCATCGATCTTGACTCTGCTTGCTCTTCACCGTTGCTATCGTCCATCGGCGCCAAGTCTTGCTCAAGCTTCACCGCCACGTGGTCCATCACTCCAAAGCCTTTGACTTGCCCTTCACGCTTGCAACCGGTCCATCAAGCCAAGTCTTGTCTTGATCTTCTCCACCTTGATCACATGACTCAATGTCATGTCTCATGTGCAATAAGCTCCTTCATCATCACATGTGTGAGCTTTGCAACATCTCCAAGCCATTTTCACCTCCATGGCATATGTTGCTCATACACATGTACCTGTGGACTAATCACCTGTGTATCTCACATAAACACAATTAGTCCACCTAGGTTGTCACTCAATTACCAAAACCAACAAGGACCTTTCATGCGTCCGGTCAGTGTTGACGTACGCTGACGTAGGGCGTACAGAGGAGACGTTGTGTGACCGGACGCTGGCTGTCTCCGGTCAAGCATGACTGGACGCGTCCGGTCGGGGAAAATCGTGTTTGGAACCTTACTGGAAACGACCGGACGCTGAGGTCCAGCGTCCGGTCACTTTCTAACTGACGCGTCCGGTCAACAGATGACCGTTGAAATCTGACGAACTGTATTTGAAGCAGGGGACACGTGGTGTGAATCACGTGACCGGACGTTGAGGGCCAGCGTCCGGTCGATCGGACCGGAGCGTCCGGTCACCCCGCATTGTACCCAGTGAAGGAGTACAACGGCTATATTTCGTGGGGGCTTCTATTTAAACCCTATGGCCGGCTCAAGCTCATGCTCTTGGCCATTTTCATTGACATAGCAACCTTGTGAGTTTAGCCAAAGCCCTCCCACTCATTTCCATCATAGATTAAACATCTTTGGGAGATTGGGAGTGATCCAAGTGCATTGCTTGAGTGTTTGTATCTAGAGGCACTTGGTGTTTGTGTTTCGCTGCGGGATTCACTTGTTACTCTTAGTGGTTGCCGCCACCTAGACGGCTTGGAGCAGCGAGGATCGTTGAGCGGAGGGTGGTGATTGTCTCCGGCTCCGATCGTGGTGATTGTGAGGGATTCTTGATCTTTCCCCGGCGGAGCGCCAAAAGGTACTCTAGTGGATTGCTCGTGGCTTGTGTGATCCTTATCTTGTGTTGGTTGTGCGGAACCCTATTGAGGGTTTGGCGTGTGATGCCAATTAGCGCGTGAACCTCCAAGTGAGTGTATCGAGGAGTAGCTTGCCGGCAAGCAAGTGAACCTCGGTAAAAACATCATTGTGTTCATCATTGATTTCGAGGTGATTGGTCTTCATTGTTATCCACACTTGTGATTGATTGATTCATACATCTACACGGTGGTATAACCTTCTTGCCTACTCTTTACAGTACCGCAAACTAGTTGTCAAGCTCTTTAGTGAACTAGTTGTGAGAGCTTGTTAGTTTGGTTAGTGTGGCTCTTTAGTTAGTTTTTGAGAGCACACTAACTTAGTGTAGTGATATAGCTATTGTGTGGATATACTTCATCTAAACTAGAATTGTGGTAGGTGGCTTGCATTTTGGTAGGCTAGCGCAAAACTCGCTTCGCCTCATAATTGTCTAATCCTTTTGTTAAGTGTTGTTGTAGAAATTTTATTAGGCTATTCACCCCCCCTCTAGCCATTAGGACCTTTCACCAGAGATAGAGAAGGGGTTAGGGGGAAGGAGCGGCGGGCGTGGCATTTCCCGTAGGTGTGCGGGCGTCCGGACTCGCGGTCGCAGAGAGAGATGAGGGGGCCAGGGGAAGGAGCGGCAGACGTGGCCTTTTTGCGGGTGCGCATGACGAAGGTGGCGCAGGCGTTCGGACACACGCTTTTGTCCGGACCTCCAAGGGCTAGCCTCTCCCTTTCAGGTTTGTTGTTACTCTACTAGTCTAGGTTGCACTCAGATCCATAGTTGCATGTCTCTATCTGTTCACGTCGAATCATATAAACTGGTTTCACAGTATCCAAGTGCTATGGCCCTATTCGCTTGAACTTATCAGCCATACCGTTTTAGCGAAATAACAGAGTTTTTCTCTCACAATAAATCAACCGTTTTTCAGCCAGCCGAAGAGGGCCTATATTCCATAAACTTTGTTGCTCTTTTGTTTTGTCCACTGATCTATGATCATGTCTATTTTGTCCCGACTTGTGCAATTTTTGGAGGAATTGTTAGGCATTAATGTTGTGCATGCTGTTGCCACTAAAACCCTGAAACTGATAGTGAGTGTCGAAAAGATAATGTTGCAGAAAACTTCTCTGATCCTGATCAAAGTAATCGAATATATTCTAATAGGAGACGAATGAAGTAACTGAAAATATTCGTGTTTCTGCACAGACGACTGAAAAAACATGTATACCCACCCCACATGAGCCCTGTATGTCTGTATCACCTATTTCTCAACAAAAAAATAAAATAAAAATGACGTGCTCGAGTAGCTTCTTCCTGTATCAGACATGCATGCCTCCCCTTCTCTGAACTTCCTTTGTGCATACAACGCGAGTCTTCTAGGAACACAAGGCAGCTATGGCCTGCACACAAGCGTGTGTTTTTATCTATACAGGCACTGGCGATCATTCCCTCTTCATCCTGCACGCCCTTAACATCATCTTTGTCAGAAGGAGGCACTCCAAATTGCATCCTCTCCTTCACTGCATCTCGAGTGCACGTATTTTAGCCTCTCAACTGGATTGCAGACCCCACTGCACTGCCAGTCAAACGACGCAACACAAACGTTCCCTGCTTGTGCTTTCCACTCACAATCTGAGAGGAAATTTCAGAGAGCAAAGATTGGTTACAACTTAGAAGAAACTGAGGTGCATGGTATATACAGAGGTGCTGAAGAAACTGACCTGGTGGTGTGCCACAACACATGTCCCTGTCGTCTATGTGCTCCACATCTAGGCCGATAAACCATGCGCCGAGAGATACATCTTCGTTTGCATATTTATGCAATATGGGCCTGGGCGATACAATGAACATACATAGCTGCATCAGCTGCCACTCAAGAAAAAGAAAATTTGTCCGAGTGAGCACAAACCGTGCTCCGATCTTACTGGTTGATCGAGATGTAGGTGGCAAGATCCTTGGAGATGGCATATATCTGCCCTGTGGCATGGCGGAAGTACTTGTTCCCATCTTCTCCAAACTTCCAGAACTCAGGCTCATGGTATTTTGCATTTCTGATGAGAAAATATCAGTGAAATGGAATAAACGTTAGTATCTAGAGAATTCAATGTGTTGGAACTTCAATTTTCTAGGCAGTTTTCAGAATAATTACTTGTCAGAAAGGACTGGTCCCGACTTCATACAACCAATATACACCCGTGGTTTCAATTTATGACGACCAAGGGTTGCGATGAGCATCCCTGCACATTTTACGCCAGTTAATAAATACTATGAATAGACCCTCTCCACTGTCGTCGGTGATTTTAGAGGTGTATATACTAATAGTCTATACTAAAGAGTAGTACCTAGGTTTACGTGAACATCGTCGTCCACCTTGACATAGAAATCTGCATCCCATAAGGCCACAGCAGTGGAGAAGAATATCTTGGTCTTTGCAGATAGCTTGTGGTACCCTTCAACATGATCCTGTAAGCATGTACAGTGTATCAGAACAATGTTTAACACAGATGACAGTCCCTCAACCAGCGGCAGAAAACTGATTTGGATGTTTGTGCTTCAACTTAAAAGGACAAATTAAAACAATGTTAAGTTATATAGTTAGTGAAGATCATCATACCAGCCTAAGAAAGTCGTGATGCATTTCATCCTCCGCGTCTATAGCTTTATCAAGGACGTTGTTTGATGTGGCGCTGCAACGCATAAAAACCAGTTTTTTACTTCAGTAAGTAAATGCATAAACTATTGAATATGTACAGCTTCTTAAATATGCGTTTGTAACGTATTCGCAAACGTTAAACTGAAAGACAATACAGTTAAGCATGCATACCTATGTCCTATCGTAAATCGGATGATGATTCCCTTCTCCTCCAGTTTCTTGAGTTTCTCACCTAATAAACAGCAGGTCAGTATGCAAGAGACAGAAAGCATAACTTAGAAATAGCAATCAGCCCTAATGGAGATTTCCTGCGGCATTGGATCTTTCAAAAAAAAAAACAGAGAGAATCCTGCATCATTTCCTCTAGCTAGGAGCCTAGGAACAAGGAACACAATAAACAATCGCTAAGCAGCATCAGTCGGCAAAAAATCGCAGTGCATAACACGAACCTTGAGGCATCCAGGTCTCCCTCACAGAATCCCGACGCTTCCTGCTACTGAAGGCGGTGTTGATCCCAATCACTACAGACGCCCTTCTCCTCTGCTTACTTATGCCACCTGTACTTTCCCCATGAAGCTCATTGCTGCTGCGCTTTGCTGCCAGCTCCATCTGCAGTGTGTCAATTGACTTTTCTAAGGATCTGAAAACAAAATGATACACAAATTAGTCCCGAATTGACAGTCCGAGAGGCACTGATAGACGAGAAACAGTTTCTATGAACAGTTTTCAAGATCGACGCTGACTTACTGTATGGCCTCATGAGTCTTTGACACCTCCCCCATAATGTCACTATCTTCAGCTGGTTTCTGAAACCAAGAAAGGGAGGTTAACAGAATTATTACTCCTCGGAAGGATTACCGAAGAATTTGAGGGCACACGGTTTAGAAATCCATGTTAAAGAACATACTTCTTGACCTTGAAAAGCTTGCTTCACGTTTTCGCAATAGTACAATTTTATGTGCTTTATCGAACAGTGTAGTCAAATGCAGGAGACATTTTTTTTATAAAAAAAAAGTGGTGCCAAAAACTACAAGAGGTACTTTATTAGTGCATAAATGGTGCATATTCATTTCCTCGTGTTTTCTAAACCGCCATAGTCTTTAATCTACGTTTTCGTGCCTGATAAATACTGCCATAGTTCATATAGTAGTAAACAAGACATAAATATGATGCCTGTAACAATGTTGAATTCAACAATGTCTGAAGTAGCAATCTGAGATTAGGTTCAGGGATTTATCGAGCAAGCCAAAAAAGGATAATAAACAAAAGGAAAAAAAAGGAGAAAGTTTCAGAGGTTAGGCAGGCCTACCGGTTTGGCAACAAAATCTTCAGAAAGGCTCTGCAGCTCCCTGTCGTGCTCGTGCCACCGGCTCTGCACCACGACCGGGCTCGGCACCGATCCAAACCTGCCACGAAAACCGTCGCCGCCGCAGAAGGCGGAACCCGTAAGCCTTGCAGCACGCGCTGACACGCACGGAACTTACCGGGCATGGCTCCAACAAAGAAGTAAGAAGAACAGAAACCAATCTATTGACTCACAGGTCCGTGACGAGCATGCCGAGGAAGAAGCTGAGAAAGCAGAGGATCGGTATCCGGCGCGAGAGCAGCCGCCTTTCCGAGGCGGGGCCGCCGTTCTTGGGCTTCATCTCCGATCGTTCCGCCTCCCTCCTCTGCTCCGTCGTCGTGTCGTGTCTATCCTGGGACTCGTGCTATGCGTTTCGTGCCTCGTGAGTCACACCATAGGCGAGCAAGGGGAGGGCGGCTTTATGCAGGTTCGACGTAACCGAAGCAGAGGAGGAGGAAACACCAAGAGGGAGACGACGACTTAGTTTAATGGTGGACTCGGAGCAAATGCTACGTTCACGGCGCAAGGGTGGGAACGCTGTTTTTCTAGACGGAGACATAGGTGGGGAACGGGGATGCCTGCCTGTGGTTTAGAGGAAGGCTGTTACGGGGCTCCATTTTCTTTTTCTCTTAAATAAAATACTTAAATACATCATCAATTACTTCAAAATCAGTTTGCCTTTTAAGACACACGGAATTATTGATCAAGCCATACGTACTAAATTTGTTTTTTAATCCTAATGTGTCCTATATTTTCAAACAGAGGGAGTTTTTTTTAACTGTAGGGAGGAAACCATGTCATTTGACAACTCACTTTTTCTAAATGAGATTTATAAAAAAAACTTCCTTAAAAATCAAGTTAATAATACTATCTGAAGGGAATTAAAGAAAGCCCGTGCGTCCCAACTGCAATAACTGAGACCTAAAAAGTGGCATCATTTTGGGCGCCGGCGGCCTGCCGCGTTGGCACCGGCACAGCGAGTTCCGCGTCACTTCCGGGTCCGCGAGCGCGAGGGACGCGGCACGGGACACGTGAGGGTGAGACCGCGGAGACCCACGCGTGGCAGCCACCTGGGCGTCCATGGCATCGCTGACCCTGCCTGTCCCTCTCAGACGGGACGCACCATCGAGGGCGCCGCGCCAGCAGCCGCCGGCGACGGCAAGGTGCGCCAGAGTTTTCCTGGAAGGGGCAAGAGGGGCACGTTCTCATAGATTCACACCGTACGCGACACGGGTAGATTCGTTCACCGAACTACCAAAGCAACTCAACCAATGATGGCAAGTTTCACTCGCCGTCGCCGGAGAATCCACGTAGCATGACCCACCGTGTCAGCTGGTGTGCTCGAGTCGAAACTTACAGCTCAGTTAGCCCGAGTCGGACCATTTTATCTGAGATCCCTAGGTTGCAGTTGTGACTCAAACGCGATTGAATTGACCCGTGGACCGTGGCTAGCCGACCGAACAGGGCAATCACGTACCCTAAAGAAATGGCTGCAGATACGACTGGTAATTCCAAAGCATGTGTTGCCCGGTCTAACGCTACACGCTTCAGGGAAAGCGACGAAGCAGAACCAGCGCCGCGAACAACGCGCCACACGCCAACGGAATGTTGTTACTTTCGACGGAACGGCAATACGGCATCGGCGGATGTACAGGCCTTTTAATAACTAAATAAAAGCCTAAAACCCCTACGTTGCCATCGACCGGAACATATTACATATGGATTAAGAAGCTCTCGATCCAGCAGCACTATCATGTTTTGTTATCGTGCCCAGCCGGCAATGGGGCCCTACACCGTGTCACCGTCTTCAACAAAACATAAAGAAAAAACTGGAATGCCGGCAGTACAGAAATAGCGTTCTCCAACTTGAAGCAAAAATGGCGTTTTCAATACGTGCTTCGATAGCTGGACACTGGTTTCGATGCCTCCAAGACTGTATAGCAATCATCAGCGATAACGATGAAACAGGGCGAAACAGCGTCCCCACAAGCCCAAGCGAACAGAGCGGAACTGGCTAGGAGGCGTGATGTAAATAGTAGTATTCTCCCCGTCCGGGAAAACATATAAGTCTAGAACAGTATCACATTTTAGTATTTTAAATTTAATCAATTATAGATAAAAAATATCAATATTTATGATATCAAATAAATATCATTAGATTAATTATAAAATGTATTTTTATAATAAATTGATTTGGAGTCATAAATATGAATATTATTTACTGTAAACGTGAACTATTTTTCTGGCACGCAACTCATAGTTGCATATTTTTTTATGGAAGATGGAGTACTAACTTGTTGCTGCAGGTGACCGTCAATTGCCACATGGAGCTGTATTCATTGCCAGTTTCAGTTTTAACCACGAGATTTGCATGATCATGACCCATCACAGATTCATAACTAACAAGAAGCTGGGGCAAAAACGTGCACCGGTGTTAAGAAGCATCATATTTCAAAACAGTCAGATATGCATAAGATGAAACGTCTAGTCATCCCATTTAGCAGTGAACAGTGCACGCCATTTTCCATCACACAAAATCATATGCTGCCAGAAATAATTTTCTTCACACCATTGTGACCAAGCTTGCAAGCCTGCACATGACATATTACGCCCTATCTTCTGGGTGGCATGTCCAATACACCGGTCCGCTGCAAGGGTGATGGGAAGTCAGTACACAAACTGGACAAGTGTATGAGGGAGTGAAATATTATAGGAGTAGTAGATGGAAATTGCAGGCATACCTTATCAACACAACAACACATTGCAGAACGCCAGCAACACCAGTCCAGACAGAAGGAACCTTGTTCGTCAGCGCGTCTTGCACCAATAAACCCTCCCTGGGCGTGACGGCCGTCCCTATCTGGATCCTTCTTTTTTTTTTTTATTTTTTTTATCCAGCCTCCAGGACTTTATAGCGCGTGAGAGCTCGCGTGTGCGCGTTTGGGGATGACTTTGCCGAGGCGTGGCGCTGGTTGAGTTGACCGGTATCCGGTAGCGGTAGGGTGGCCGCCTGGAAGACAAGCCAATATACTAATGTTGAAGATCCACTTTGAAAAATTTCCAATCCCTTCTTTCAAATTCTTGAAGCAGATTGACCTTGAGAGGCATGGCCTGTATGACGCTTACACTGTCGTGTACGACATATGCTAAGGCAGTCCAGGCACTCTTTTCTTTACCAACCGTCAACCGACGATCTTCCTCTACGCGCGCGCGCGCTCGGAGGAGTAGCGACTTACGCGTGCCGGACGGAGAAGCTGTCCACAGTTTCTAAAGTCCGGTTCCTGTCTAGCTTCAACTCAAGGTCCATTTAACTTCTCTATTCTAGTTATCTTTTCTCATATGACATTCATCTCATTTTGTGTTGAGCTATCTTCAGTTTTCGTATCTGACTTTTTTAAGCCACTTTTTTTTTACTCCGACTTTTTTATTTTTCTCTTTTGGGATAGCGGGTGTGTGGGTAGTGAACGGACGTGGGGATGGTTTCACTTACGTATATAAGTAGAAGTAATAAACTAGAACACAAAATGATAGAAATCAAGTTTCAAAAAAATAGTAGAGAGAAAATGTTTAATATATAATCGTTGGTCACAATAAAAAAGCTTTTCACAGAATGAACAAACTTTGAAATTCAGAAACTTTGTATTAGCATACACATTGCTAACACTAGAAAACTTTCCGCTTCTTTCTATTCTATTGAGATGACAAAGAAGAAAAAGTGGATTTCCAGTCGCAGGCTGCAAAATTTAGAACATATTGGCCCTTTTAAAACTTTGTACTTTAAGATTTAAAGTTTGTAATTTAAAACTATTTAGGAACTTTATACTAACACATTTAAAACTTGTATTTAAAGATTTAAAACTTTACATTTTTAATTCAGGAACTATATATTAGCACATTTAAACTTTATACTCTAAGACTTAAAACTTTAAAATTTTAAACTTTATTTTTAAAATTGAGGACTTTATACTACCACATAAACTTTGTATTTCAAGGTTTAAAACTATGTAATTTCAAACTTTACATTTTAAATTTAGAAATTTTTACTAGCATATTGAAAACATTATAAAATATGTACGGCTAGGTTCAAAACTTCGGGATTTCAAAACTTTACACTTAAATTAACAAACTTTGTACTAGCTCATTTCAAACTTTGTATTGATATGCTATGAACTTTGTACACCTAAAAATGGAACTTTGTCATTCAAAACTTTGGACTCAATGTTTTACAACTTTGTACTGCAACATTTGAAACTTTATACTCTTATGCGCAAAACTTACCATCAAGAAAATTGTTTCAAAACATATTCAACATGGATATACTTTTATAGATCTCGTCATAATGAACGTAATAGTGCAAACGGAATTAAAAATAGATACTTGACAAGAAAGTTATCATATTTTTAAGTTTGTATGCCGTTTGCAAATGCAAAAGCAACAGATTTGGCACACAGCACGTGGTCCGCTCCTCTCCCCGTGTCCACCATGCTCAGTCCCCATTCCCCATGCGCCACGTATCCGTACACTGCTACACGGTGGATCCTCCTTACGCCACGCATCCGTGCGCTGCTACATGGCCGAGCGCATGCGCGCCGAATAGTGATTGGGTTTACCAACATATGGTTTTCTACTAACAACTTTCCTTGATTTTGACATTTTGAAGAAAAAAAGTGCAAATGATTTATTTTGACAACTTTTCCTAGAGCATCTGTTCTCGTTTCCCTTCCACCACTTTTCCGTGAGCGTCCGCTTCCTTTTTCTCCTTGTTCAGTGCTTTTTCCTTTTTTTTTCTAGACTAGAGTATCTAATGTTTATTCTTATAAATATAAATGATAAATGTTAATGTAGTTTTAGAATTTGAATCAACCGATGGTCCAACTAATAATTATATCATGAACTAAAATTTTAAGTAATTTATCATCCAATCTAATCAAAATAGATCTATCTCTAAGCAGTATGCATATACCAATGTAATTCTCGGCGTGGGCTACCATTTGGAAATTGAGAGTGATCTCTATTATAATCACGAATGGACAAATCAACCCTTGACATGAAACTCCTTACCAACTTTGATCGGAATAATAGAATTACATATTTTTATGGGTCCTCAATAAAATTCACATACCTAGATATGTAACTCTACCAACACAATAATGATATAAAAATTAAAGTTATGATATATTTATGACTAAATATTTTTATGCCTTACAATAGAAGAAAAAGATATTTATTGTTGGGGTGTGTAATATGTTGGGGACCCCTCTCATGTTTAAGGCCCAATTACATAGCTTATGGCTCACAAAA